CCTCCGGATTGGTGCATGCATACGCACGCATGTGCGCGCGCGCTCGTTCGCTCGCCAGCGAAGAATTGATTGTGTCGGTTTGTGCTCTCATCCCGTTAACATATCAGGAGTGAAACTCAGTCAGGCAGTTTTCAATGTCTGACGAATGCCAACTGGCAGAGAAAATGTGCACAACTTTTCACTCGTCAGTCCGGGCTGTGAGTGAGTGACTGGGTCAGCGCTCGGGGAGATGGGGGGATGAAATGTCTACAACCGTGCCAAGGATAAATAGCTACATTTTCCGGGGTGCGTGCGAACGCCAGGAGATATGCAGCCGAATCAATCGTATATTGCATGATATTCGTCTGATGTCAGCATACGAATGATCGCGTATGAAGAACACCACCGATATTTGTGACGGTATGTCGGACAGACTCCGAAATTGTTTGTTTCTTGCTCGCTTCATTGCTCAATTATCAGGTTCGTTCATATCTCACACTATCAGCCCCCAACCCTCCATTCTTCCGGATCGAAATAGACGCACAATTCCGATGTGCTCTAGGTTATTGCCTCATGGCAACATAATAATAACAATAATAATAATAATAATAATAATAATAATAATAATAACGCGTTTTTGTCACTAAATGAAGAATTCAGTCTTGAAAGTAGAGACTGAAGAGGTTTGAAAATATCTAGATATTTGTTAGAGTCGACAATATGTCCATTCTACGGTATACTATCTTATACGAAAAAATCCTCTCATTGATCACCATAGGTGATGCATTTATGACCTCCAATCAACGATCAGTGTAGATAAAGGCAAAACTAGACTAGTTGTTCAAGAAACGTTTGCATTACTCAACCTCGAGCTCCTTGAATAAGAAACACCAGAAACTCCCGTTTGAAAGACTTTTACCAAAAAGACACGGTTCAGATAGTGCATCTCAATACTTTGTTCTCTCCCAGTCAGCACACAAATACACACACATGGGTAAAACAAAAACTAAGAGAGACCATGTGCGTGCGCGATTTGTGGAACCTAGTTGGGTTTGAACCCTGAATTCCTGTTTCCTTCATTGCTTGTCTTTTTTAGAAAACGATCATTTTTATGTCCCGAAATTACTACGCGATGGTGATGATAATGTCAAACGAGGAAAACCGTACATGCTCGAGTATCCGTAAGCCTAATTCACCCGCTGGATTCGTATGACCGGGCCATTAGTGTGAACTGGTGCCGACCTAGAGGAAACCTGACCTGTTGGAAACTGTTAACTGGTCTTCCGATCAGTCCGAAGGGCCGAATCCGGACAACTTTTATCACTACGGATTGTTCAGTCGCATGACACATACGGGTAATCACCACCGCATATTGAGGAGAAAAAAGTGAACGCACGAACGCACGCACGCACACACACACACACACGCGCGCGCGCGCGAACAACACTGAGTGACACATGTTGGACCCATAATTCATTTCGGGGCAGAGAAGATTATGTAATGCGCAAACATCTGCTGAACAAAAGCTGCAAAGACCATACACAAGTTGGTGACTCAGAGAAACATGTGGTGCGCATGCGAGGTGAAAGATGTCGAATTCAAACAAAAATCGGAAATTGGTCGCTCTAACTGGTTGGGAGGCTGTGGCATTTGGTGACGAATATTCATTTTCAACTTGATCTACAAAGTGGTACAGAGGTGAATGTATGGATGCGAAGCAAATATGAAAAACTGTTTGTAAAGCGCAAGACGGGCCAGATCAGAATGGGTTCTCTCAATCTTGATTATCACCGGGTTACAAGCTTTTTTCAACCAGCATTCGTTTTCATTCTCCTCGTGCTTCAGTTATCCTCTCGA